ATTTGATATTAGACGGTGCATTTGAAATATCGTCACGACACATAATTATTTGTTAAAAACGTATTATTCATAATCATAATAACGTGATGTAAGTTTGCTGTAATGTGCGAACAAATGCAAATATTAAAAAAAAAAAAAAATGTGATGTAATCGCTTTGGTTATTTATTTTCTATCAAAGTACGTCTGTTTCTCAACGCTAACAATACGCATCGGATTTTTGTTACTTGGTTTACATGTGCAACATATCTCGACGAAAACAACGACGGTGTTGTTTGTTAATTGGAAAAAAAATGTATTCCGTAAAATGTTTACTGTTTGTTGTAGAAAAATAAAATACATGCAAGTTCACATGATACTTCATACGTATTGTACTCGGTCACTAATTAAACGCGTTCAAATGAGAATCATATCATACCGTAAATCCAAGGCTTACGAGAAAACTTACGCGTTTTATATTTTTGATAACTGCGGATGTGTAACCAGTGGTCAAGGTGGCTTTTAATAGGTACCAAGAAATATTTTACATTTCGTAAATACATATGATTGTCTCTTCATGGGCAACTAAAAATTTGTACATTGAGTTTGAATAATTTATTTGTTTTAAAACAAACGTATTGTACTGTAGTATACGGAATAGACCATCGGCCGTTCAATATTCAAGGAGCCGAGCTTCAAACTTGATTTATACAGGTTTTTGAATAGTCAAGAAATGATCCTTATCCTTATTATTTTTTCTTTGAAACCATAACATAACAGTTTAGAAATCAAAATCACTAATAGTTATGCGTAAATTTTACAAAAATAAGCTAAATTATGAAAAATGTAAATAGTATCCTTCTCGGGCGTTTCGTGATTCGATTTAAGTTCGAAACGAACGGTAAACTTTTACTGAACGCAACCTAAGACAATAGTCATCATCGTGCGATGGACGCATGCGAGATTATAATTGAATAAGTGTGAAGCGTATAATTTATGTACTTATTACATGTATAGACTAGTATGTAGACATATATATGTATAGTACATAGACTCAATAAACACTGTACCGATTATTAATCGATTTGTAACGCAATGGTCCGGGTTGTCCGGAGAGTGTTTAAAGCCATAGTAATCTTTCGATAGCTCTATAACCACCCCCAAAAAATAGGTTTTTTTTGATATTTTTGGTACTCGTCGGTTACACGGACGAAAACAAACGTAAAAGTTGTTGATTATTATTACAGTAATCTTGTAGACATAATTCTTGTCAAATTCCATCTGGTAGTGTTTTTTTTTTCTTATAACAACGGTTACTTCTCAAATTATATAAATAGATATAAGTTCCTGATTATACACAGATCATCTATTTTTAATATTTACAGGAATAAATAGATATAAGCAGGCTGCAGGACAAGATCACATAATGAAATCGCAATAGCAATAGCGCAGCACTGCTGGGTCAGCTGATAAAATATATGAATGTACTGCAGTTCGAATAGGAGACGTAAGAGAAACTAGTGTGCACTGCGATGCGATGTACAATGTACGATTAATATTTTCTCGGGCAACCGTAGAAATCATCATGTACTACCTGTAATAATAATACATAAGTATACAGACTCCTCCACCCCGCGGTAATGCGAGGAAATGTCTTGTAATAATAGTTAATAATAGTAGTAGTAGTAGTAGTAGTAGTAGTAGTAGTAGTAGTATTTGACCGCCGTCCAAAAGATATTTAAATTTAACGCCATGAATTCCTCTAGGTAAGCATACAATAATATTATTAACATCGCAGCGTATTACCATAACCGGCGGCGAAGGTGTAGGCGGCAGACGCGAGAAGGTACGCAAACACGGTGATGGCGGCGGTGAGTGTTTACGGGCTCGCGAGACGTGAAACAAGAAAAAATTTTTAAAAAAAAAACCATTGACCCGGACGACTCTTTGATGCCGCGCGAAATTGATGAAACGGTGTTCCGTCGAAATTTTAATAGCAGTAATAACATGTAATGTTACGTGCACATGGTCGCACCTACACTCGTCTGATAAAAAAACGACGGCCAGACGATTATGTTATAAATACACAGGGTCTTCTAAGAAAACGGGGAAAATTTGAAATCACTCTCGCGGAAGTAAAAAAAAAAAAAATAAAACGTTTTATTGAAAACAGGATTTACATAGTACGCCGTTAAAAAGTACAAAAGATAAAAATATCATGTCATCGATATCAACTGTCCGCGTGCCAAGTTTAGGAAAATCGTTGTTCCCCCGCCATGCTAACGAAACGCCAGGGCTCGATTAATATTCTTTAGAGTTTTTAAATGTTGGGTTTCATGACTGGATGGCCTCGTTCCTCACGTGTTTCATTGCTGTGCTCTTTCTTTATGCATAAAATCTATGCACTCGTAATTTTCTTACTTTGCCTCGAAGAATATATATTGTAAATATTAGTTTTAGAATAAAAAATAAAATATAATTTGTAAATAATTTAATTGGTGCTCAGGTGCGTGTAATTATATATCGTCTAACTATATACAATGTTAAAATCGTCTCGAATTAGAGGAATTTATATTGACTTTTTTCAAACCGCGGCAGATACATGACGAAGAGCGCTGGTCCGAGGCAAATACAATAATACGTACGATACCAAATCTTATTTTAATTTTGATATTTTCCCAAGCAATAAATCGAGAGTTAATAACTATCACCGTAGATACCACGGGTTATTTTTTTAATTTTGTAGAATATCGTAGTCTTACGTTCGAGCGGTAGTCTTTTAGATAATTTGTATAGGCTACAACGTGATAGTGTAATTGGTATTAATTGTTTCCAAGAGCTTTTAACGAACTTGGCTAACCAAAATCTCGTATCTTTTCCAAGGCTAATCGACCGTTATGGTGATCACTCGAGCGGTAACGGAATCAACATCTTCCCATAATCTGTATAACCATATTACACAATTAAAACGATTTCACGGGGCAATGTGTAGGCAATTTTAATGAATGTAAAAAAATCCACTGTAATATGACTGAAAACTAGTAACAATAATAATACATTTTCGATATAATTATCATACGAGTACTTGTACGATTGTTTCTTTTTCCAGAAATCTATTCAAAAACACGATTTTAAGGTAGCAACAGTGTATATAGAAATTTAATCATCTCAGAAAATACGTTGTAAATATATGAGTAATATGACTGAAATTACGTGTTGTCATCACAATAAATTTTAAAAATTCGTTTCTATCGTTTATGATTAATACGCTTTTCAATGCCGATGATTGCGTTTTGTCAAATTAAGTCCAATAATTTATTTAAAAAAAAAAATGTGTACGTAACGTTTAACAACACTATCTGGTAATTTGTTTTTCACGTGTAGGTCGGATTGTAAAGCGTAGTACTGATGTATTTATTGGTAATGGAATTGAGCAAAAGCATTTTATGCTATGCTTATTGCTATTATCCGGATGAAGAGGTGCCGTTATGGTTTCGCAAAAAATAATATTATAGATTAATAGTAGTTTTTTTAACTATAAATAATTCGTTAGATCTATGTAAAGTGTCTGGTGCATCGGTGAACTAAAAATACAAAAATAGCATAATCACATATACACATCGTGGTTACCTGAATTACGTGACTTATAACAGCTGATGTATTTTTAAATCAATTCCAAACGTTTTTAAGTTATAGTTACAGCGAACCTACTTTCATTTTTATTTATTAATTTTTTTTAATATAACCATGTATACGAGTAAACATATTATGTTTTAAATTCAAATCGGAAATATGAACGGTTTAAGATATGGTGGAAAACTCGACTTATTAATTGAATTTAAGATTTATGAACGTGAATGATATATCGGTGAGAACGGGGTGTTCCACGACCACATATTACGTAAAAGCATGTGCGCGTAATAATTATTTTACGGTGACACGTTTACCATAGCCCTGGAAAGAAATCGATGGTCTCAAGTGTCCGAAACTTTGAAGTGACGGGGGAATGGAAGGATACCAATAATATGTACACATACACGCTACACGAACAGTTACATATGTACTCGCAGTACAAATAAAACGCTGAAAGGTCCTTCAGCAGCAACTCCTTGCGGTTCTTGTCAAATATTTTACTAATTAAACGTCTGACCGTACTTATACCAGACCGATCCCACGCGAACACGTTCGGATGTATTCACTGTGATCTACTCTCAAACGGATCGATGGGAACGTTGTCGGGTGATTGAAAAGAATCAATAACAATTATGACGAATGTAGCAGTTGTTACGTGACGGTTTTAGACGGTTTTGCTGTGTAGCAGGAAATATTGTTGTTTCGATTTTACGATTTAAGGCGTACTAAATATTGCACGGAGTTCAAACTAAGAAAATATTTCGAATGTAAGATTATACACACGTAAACGAGAAGAATACGCGCATCATGTGACCGAGTTCTCAACCCTCCCTCATTGTAGCCGTTACTGATTCTTCTTGCGTGTTTACAGAACGCGTCGTTTGTTCGGGTGCTTTACCAAACTATTTTTATTTTTGTATTATTCACTGCGGTACATTGAATTCGTGCAGTTCGCCATAAAACCCCAAACAACCGCTCTCACCAAACGCGAGAAAGAAATCATCTCACTCGGTTTTACGTTTACACGTATTACGGATTACATACGTATGCTCGATGCGTTGTTTTCGATTAACGACGACGCGCGCGCGCTTTGCGGTATTGCAAGACGGAACGACGAATTTCGGGTACGACGGCCGTGAGGTTAAAACCTAGTCTCGTAATATTCTGTATTTCTCAGCAAGCCATAATTACGCTATGTATCGACGATCGTTGTTGTCGATCGGAAAATAAATATCTACAATGGCAGTCGTATTGTTCGCGGTAATTAACTGAAGTCCGGTTATTGGTAATCATTTGTACATCGTACAGCCCAGTGACGGGAGTGTACGATAAAAATGATTACGTTCGTTGACATTGTTTTTGTTGATCACGCGCGTATGTTCCACCACAGAGTCGGCCACGTGCGCCACGGTGAGCTGCAAGGGCGGTCAGAAGTGTCTGGTGGAGAAGTCCGGACGTCCGAGGTGCGTGACGTGCAACCTGCCGTGCCCGGAGCCGGAGACGTCGGGCGGCAAGCGCAAGGACACCGGAGGACCTGTGTGCGGCAGCAACGACAAGACGTATCACTCCTGGTGCCACATGTTCATGGACGCGTGCGCCACCGGCCTGGTGATCGAGACCAAAGCTTCCGGTCCGTGTCGCCGGCACGAAGGCGACGGCATCGGTGATACGGGTAAATATAAGGGGAATATCGTTCGGAGCCGTACGGCTGTGTTTCGAAACCGTAAACGTTAAAAGAACGAAACGGGGCCCAAAAATGGAGAGGTACATTTCGGTCCGTTCTTAAGCCTATATCCTTAACATTTTTTGTTTTTCTGTTTGAACCGATGTCAGTGGGAGAACGGGTGCTCCCAGTACTTCCTCACCGACGCCATAGTTTATCGATCACAAATGACATGATTATACAACACATGTTGTCCCATTGGGCGCGCTTTCGAATTATACGAATTATGCAATATAAAGTGGTTTCTGAGCGTATTTCCTTAACTGTTCGCTACTTCTACTTCTTCCTGGCCCATCCTAAGACCGCCAGCCTGTAATCACATCCCTGTTGTACCTCTTCCTGATCCGGTATCCATGACCCGCCGATCCGGAAGCTCGTAATTGCGCAGCCATTACCATTGTCCCAACCCTGGGTGCCCCTATGTCCTTTACCTAACCTAACCTACCACGCGGAGTTGTCCGATTGCGGCCCGAATTCAGGTAGTCGTATTTCATGCCAAAAATAAATATCCCGATTGCGTTCTTAGCACACATTGGTTCATAAAATAGCTTATAATTAAAAAAATAAAGTATTTGGAAAATATTTTTGATACTGAATAGGACAATTTAATTTTGTATATATTTTGTATTTTAGTTAAATAGTCAAATAATAAATTGTTTACAATAAAAAATGATGTAAAATACAAATAATATATATATAATATAAATAGTAAACAAAATATAGTGAGGGTAAATTTTTAAAACTCATTATTTTTACAAAATCAAAATTTGATATTTCGAAATTTTTTAATTTTGTAATTTGGGTTCGGATAATTTTTTTTTTTGTTTATTCGTTTAGTTGTTTTCCGAGGAGTACAAATTATGGATTGAATTTTCGTTTTAGCATTTGTTTGGCATTGTTTCAAAATTTCCAAAAATTGAAATATACTTGGATGTGACGTATAAAATAGTGAATTGAATTTCGAATGGAAGCTTTCACATGCATTCGTTGTCAAACACATACTGGAACTATAAGTAACTCATATTTCAGGTGGAAAATCAGAATCATCATCAATACAAGTGTCAACTAAATAATCACAAAATGTTTCGTAAAATTCGAAATTACCCAGCCGAATGATAGTTATATTTAAGTCAAAATGCGTATCGGACGCAATCGGGATATTTCTTAAGGTTTGATAACCACTTAAATAGTATTTCCTACCTACTATGTACGGGCCGCAATCGAGATAGGTGAAAAGGTAAAAAGGTTACTTTTGGCCGCAATCGGGCGACGCCCCCCAACACGATCGTGTTCGGTCCGTCGTCACGCGCTTTCATTTCGTATACTGAACCGACGTCCCGTTGTTGTTTTTTTCAGACGTATTCAACGGCAATTGGAATTTCGTGAACGCGTCCAACGTCGTGCTGGCCGACGCGGTTTGAACGGGACGGATTTACTGTTTAGAAACGTGGTATGATTCCTCTGCATAGACAAATTGAAATACTACAGAATATTATTTATAAACTAATACATAGTCGCGTGCGTGTGCGCACCGGTACACATATTATAGCGAAATTATCAAAATATCACAGTACATTATATCGTTATGTTATCACGCGTTTGCACTGTTTAATTAATGGCCGTTTTTGAATCGGTAACAATGTCGAGTGGTGGTGACGAGCATACCGTTTTCGGTACGGCATTCGTAACCGCGTGGGCGTGCGCGGAGTTCAAGAGGACGAGTTAGTAGTGTATTAATTGTTTAATCGGTTCGTTTTTTTTTTTTTACACGTTTTCCTTGGCTAGCATATTTTGAGTAAAAAAAAAAAAAAAAAGCCTCCGAAATCTATGGGGTCGTAATCGTTTTACTCGCCGTAGGTACCTGCGACGCGCATTGTTTTTTGCAGCGGTTATCGGGCGTTTAGTCGGATATCCACTTGAACGCTGTTGAAAAACAATATCTTACGAGCTAGTTCGACAAACAATATCCGTCTAGACTACTTCACGGATTCTCGCAATGACCGTGGGGACAAGGCTTGATAGCAATATTATTGTCCGTGGCAACGTAAGAGGTTAGATAATTCGAATGTATCTAGATGCGACAGGTAATACAGTTGTATATAGTTGAAAGATGAATAACTTGCAACTATAAACGTCTAAATAAAGTCGTCTAACGTATAAATTATCTTAAAATAGATAAACGCAGTTCGTCTAGACAAAACAAAGATATAAGTTACATTGTAAATCGAACTATTTTTAAACGTAAAGATAAGATTATTTATTGTTGAACGCTTGTTTAAACTATGCGAGTTATAATAATATCACAAGTCTGATGAAGTTCGTCCGGTTTCTACGTGTGCCATTACGCCGCTTTATCATCTTTCTGCGTAGCGAAATAGCATAATGTTTACTCTTGAATTCTTGTCTAGACAAATTCATACTCCGAATTTTCTTCGAATCACCTTCATAGATAACGCGAAATATTTTCATCAAGATAAGGTAAAATTTAGATAAAATCGGTTAAGACTTATAATATTCAACAATAGTCAGGAAGGCTTGCACTGCAAGTATCGCGCACGTCCACGTAGGGTGGTAACTGTCGACGCAAATAGTGTTTGAGTTTTGGGGTTGGAGCCCCCCCACCGGATCTGACAATATTTCATTGTAAATTTTATCATGAAAAAAAATACTAATATAAATAGTGTAATTATTAATATTTGAGAGATCTATAAACAGTTTAAGAAGGGGGGGCCAAGGTCTCCCACAACGTCTCATTTTCGCGTCTACGGTTGTAAATGTACTAGTAATATTTAATATATTGTAATAATGTGCACACCCCGATTTGTTACACGATTTTATTCGGAGATTTGATTTAAAAACAAATTTTTACTATACCTATAATAACCGTCGCAGTATTGTTCACCGCGGGCACATAATAATACGTAGTTTGTAGAATTTATATTATAATATTATTATACTCCAGTTTGTATTTTATTAATTATTAATGTAATTTATTTTATCGATTTTCGTGTGAGCTACACGCAAAATGTGAACGCACCCACAAACGCATTTGCGTTTTATACACGTATATACATATATATAAGTTATAATTAGTATTATATCTATTTGTTATACCGTATTATAATAGTATTGTAATATTTATTAGTGCTTAAAGGAATTTTTTTTCACGTGTATTCGATGACAATTGTATACAAAGAAAAGTAGGCCAATGATAACATAGTATAATAAAAAGTTTCTTGTTTGGATCATGTTTCATTTACGAACAATATTATAGTGTCTAGTCAGTTTTTTTTTTTTTTTTTTAATGATTATCTTAACGAACATAAATCGTTTTCTATATTTAATTTTTTCAGTTAATATCATTATCATTTTGTATTAATTTACTATATCGCGTTGTCCGACGTAGAAATTATGTATTATTACTCTCTGTACAGAGTGATCAAAAAGTCTGGAAAATTTTTCACGTACATTTCGGAGCTTTTTAAACACTCTGTGCGTATACTATTGTAACCATAATAATATTTTATAGTTATTATACTAATGTAATTAATTACCTAGTATTTGTAATGTATATTTCTCTACACACGTATAGATTTGAATGTACGTTTTTTTTTGTATTATTGGAAAATAGTATTACAAGTTACATAATAGGCCAGTAACCTTATAGTGTAGGACATGGTACCACGTGTAGATGATATAAACATATTTACTCATTTATGTATTAAACATTAATAGTTCACCAGAAAAATAATTTCTAGGAAAACGAACCAAAAGTACTCACCAATATTCGTACAACGTTTCAAATCACAATAACGTTTTATTTTATCTTTTTTGATTTTTTTGATTTGATAGTAATGATGAAATCGAAATTATAAACGCTCGTGTGCTTTATGTTTTTAATCACGATAGTTACTATAATACATCATATAATAGTATCATAATCGTATACATAATCACTATATTTTGCCGAAACTTTGTCCAGTCATCACTTCATCCATTGAATAATAATTGTCAACAAGTCGTCATGAATTGTTGTCCCCCAATCATCCCCCTTCTTCCCCCCAAAAAGAAACGATGAATCATTATTATTCCTCGTCGCACCTTCGAGTTCTGCACAAGTCCATAAATTGTAATGTATTATAGGATCCCGCGGAATAAGTACAAACAAAATATCCTTGCCTGCGGGTTAAAAATAAATTCTCACGGATATTCTTCAGACTATTTCGATCGAAACATATACTGCGTATAATGTGGTAGTACACATGATTGATGGGTATACTCGACATTTTAAAACGCTCAGTGATGGCAGCTAAGCACTTCATTTCAGGTTCGCAAATATAATGTGATGTTCAAAAATTCTACAGAACTTCCGAGTTTTCACATGAATACCATTTGGAAAGCTTAGCAATCCTCTAGGTCTTAAATGTTTAGGTTCTTTCCTTCCTGCTCATTTTGCAACTGGACATCTGAATATTTCTTCAGTTATGTCTTTCCGACCATGGTTTCCTTTTCTTCTACTCCCAAGGCACATATGGCTTTCTTCCGTTAACGGTTTGGCCATAATTTCTCCCTTCGCATTCCTTTCGTCTCTCTCTTGAATTTTCTTACGGTTATCAGGTAATATATACCTGCTTTGAGCGAATTTTTTTCTATTTTTCATAACTTTTACCGAAATAAATAAAATAGTTCCGAATTTTATTAAAAACACCAAGACAATTTTTGGTACTCGGAGCTGTAGGGACATATCTAGGGCAAGATAAATGGAGAAACGATTTTTTTAAGTTCAAAAGGTACACGTTTAAAACAACACGGTATGTGTTAAATATATATAAAGTAATTAGTTATTTTGAAGTATATTTTTATCGGTGGTCGATGGACGTTTGAAAAGCCACGAATTTTAATTTTAATTTTATTAGGATTATAAAAAGTGTTTGTCACGTGTTTTTTCGCACACTGACACGAGTCAACCCCCCCCCCTGGAAGTATGTGCAGAACCGATAGTGCTAAAACACTCCCGCTATCGTGAATGTATTATTGCGTGCGTTGTTTTCCTTAAATCGAAACACGCATTGTACAGCTGAACACCGTCGAATAAGAAATAAATAAACAAATAAATAAAATCAAATAAAGTTGACAGTTTCGGAACGCCAAACTTTATTCACAGCACACAACATAATATTACGCGATCTCTGTCACTGCAGTTGCACGCGCGTACACATAGTCTCAACAGCCACATGAATTATGACTCTTGATCATAAAAGAAAAAAAAAAAATGTGTAACCAACGGTATTACAACCTAATAGATAACGACGGAAATACGTAGCCGAACATTACGGTTTTGATTTAAAACGCGCGACCAAAAAACTAAATATGTTGTTGTCACATTCGTGTACGGCAGGGGTGGGCAACTGGCGGGCCGCATCCGGCCCATGAGCTTATTTTATCTGGCCCGTACTATATTTTAAAATTATATCATACAATTTCAAAGTTTATCGTCGATACTCTGACATCGAAATAATAATTGTTATTTAGTATTAAACATCGTTAAATGTTTAAATAACATATATATGTATAAGTATAGCTTTCAACTATAGCTGTTCGTACGGAACTATTTAGCAATATCAGTTTCTTCGTATCATTCGTATCGCGCTGTCGCGTGTGTTGAATTTATTATTTCCGTGTATATATAAATGCTAATTAAAATTCATATTTTGAATGACTTTTTATTTTCTATGCTCTGGCTAGCTAGATTTTAATTTTCTACAAATTGGCCCACTAGTAACTTTGAGTTGCCCATCCCTGGTATACGACTATAAATTAGAACAGTTGAACGTAATCGTAACACATCGTATAAGTAAAATAATAATCACAATGCCTACGAATTGAAAAAAATCGTGTAGATTTGAAAACATTTAACGAGTAAAATTAAGATAAAAATTGGAGGTAGTATTTCGTAATGCACTGTGGCTTACACTTTAAAATAATTGATTGAATTGTTTGATAATCAAAGAAAACGATATTCGTGCCACGTGATTGTTCGTGTACAATCAGCTGCGTCGACCGTAAAATAATTATTCGAAGTTTATAACATTTAAATGATAAGTTAATATCGAATTGTTGTTCTAGACGTATTACTTTTTATTTTCAACTTTGGAACTCTTACAATACCCGTAGCTATTATATTAACATAAATACGTGTTAACAGAACACCCAATATAATATTATAATAGCTATTATAAGCGCAGTGCCGTATCGAGGATTTATTTTAGGTTATTTGAGGATTTTGATTTTTTTTAGTCTAAAGAACGCACTATACATTTTTGTATTTAGTCGTCGATGTCTAGTGATCGGCAATATAATGTTGTGTACATTTATTGTTGATACGCAAAAATCCACACTAGGTTCCGCAACAGGAACGCTCGTATCCCGTTGAAATGTAGCGTTTTTATGTACATCAGTTGCTCTCCCGGACGTACTCGTCCACCCCGTACCAATGATCATCATAACGTTATACTATAAAGTTATAAACATGTGCCAGTTATTGGTGTACAACCGTATAACAGTAGTTCAGGTCAATATGTGTATTAGTAAATAATTATAATATTACAATAGTATAATAATACGTATTAGCTATTAATTTACTATAGAAATACAATTTATCCAATATATATATATATATATATCTTATTGTGTGTTATTATTTAAGTGTGTTGTAAATTTTAATATGATGCCATGTATTCTTTCTAAAAAATATTTTAAATTATACTCTCATTTAATTCTTAAAAAAAAAAAATACATTAATTGATATGTTTATGTGCATGTATATGTTCGATTTTTATTCAATAGACGCATTTTATGGACTAAATGGTTTGATCCGAAAAGTTCGTGTGTTGTACGTTCGTATGTACATAATATAAAGCCGGTCCCACGCTCTATTCGTTCATAACCATTAGTGTAGAGACACGTGACTACTCCGATCATGATAATTAATCATGATTGCACGATCTTCGATGTGACCAACCACACTGATCGGAATTCAGTGCAGGTATTGTTATGAAAACAAATAAAACGAAAAAACCTACAGCTTTAGGGATATATTTATTTTTAAAGTCGGGTAATCCAGTTCACAATTTGAAGTCCGGTCTGGTCCTTTAAATAACGGACCGTGCAAAGCACTAGCATGCGGTAACTAGTGCGCTACGAATGATGATAATATAATTTTTACACGTCATGTTACAAACCACTGCATACATTACTGATAAATAGTCCGTGGCCAAAAAAG